ACCAAGGCGCCCCGAACGCAAATATGACAAATATCCCTGCTATCCGGCCGGGGGACGGGGCTCGCCTGCCCCCGGCCAGCCCTGCTTCCCCCCCTCCCCCCCAAAAAAAAAACCCCGGGGCTCATCCCGGTGCCGTGTCCCCCGTGAGACGGAGAGGGACCGGCCGGTCGCCCCCCGCCCCGGCCCCGGGAGCCCACCCGGGAGGGGAGGGAAGCAGCGGCCACCCCCCCTCCCCTCCTTCCTCCGTGGGATGCTCGCTGCTAATTTGTGGAGATACCACCGAAGCCCAAAAATGAGGCCAAATGGAGATGTTTGAGCACACGAAGGCTTGGAGGGGGGAGAGGAGGAGGTGGGGGGAAGCTCAGCACCAGGCTCTAACGAGAAAGATGATTATTTTAAGTTCCCCTCAATTATTGTCTTTCGAAACAGCGTAAGATTCTGGCACCTCGGATCATTCCAGCCTCTCCTGTTCCACTAAACCCGTTGTACTTGGGGACGATAAAGCTTTAAGAGGGAGCATAAAGGCGATTATTAGTCGTTAATATCACGACTCGTCGAGGCATTATGCTCAAAATGGTCCGTAATGATTCGCAATCAATCAAGCTGATGGCCTTGTTCGAAATGAAGTTCCATTTTCAGCTAGAAAAACCGAGGAGGAAAAGAAGGATACTTTTAGAGGAAAGAGTTCGTTAAACTGGAGAATTTTTCTATCAAAAATCCACATAGGAAAAAAAAAAAACCAAACCAAAAACAAAATAGTGAATCTGCCAAAAGAGAAGGAGAGTAAGGTGATTATTTTATGGATTCTTATAACTGAAAAGACTCCACCTAATCAGAGTTTAACACGGCGACTGGTATTTCATATAATACTCCGCTGAAACCACTAAAATGGGAGGAAAGACCTCAAAATGTGGCGTTTAACTTGGCCAGATCTGGAGGCCTCAGGACACCTTTCCCCCTCCACTTGTGCTGTCGGTGGTTCCTTTGAGGAGACCCCAAAATCTTCTCCTCCTCTCTCTGTGGGACAGAGTCAGCCCCCAACCAGCTCCGCGACTGTAATTCTGACGAGCGACTCGCAAAATTGCTCAGGAACTGGCAAAAAATTGTAACCAGAATTTCTCCCTTCCAGCAGCCAGGCACTGAGATTCGGTCCTTCCACTCGGGAAAATTTCTACTTCTCAAAATTACAAGAGTCATAATAAAAAAATAAATATATTTGTAAAATAAAAGGAAAAGCTTAATTTTCTTTACAGCAAGGGTGCAGCGGTAGGTAGGCTTCAGACTACTCAAAAGTCAGAATTATTTGTACGTTTTTCGGCTGAGTTGGGGGGAGGTGGGGGGTTTTTTGCCTGCCAGATCCACCAGATTTTGGGGCCGCCTCCTGCCCTCCTTCACGGCGGCAGGGTCTGGCCTTGCGCAACGGCGGCGCCTGCCCTTCTGGGGCTCAAAGTCCACGGCAGGTTTACAGTCCCCCCGGCGCCTGGGTGTGTGTGGGCGCTATCGCCCGCGCCGCTGTGCCACAACCACAAACAACGAGCTAAATAAGCAGCCGAGCTCCAGGACCAGCAGCCTGGATCTCACCAGGTTCTACCCAGCCTCAAAGCCTGCCTTCCCACCTTTGAAGGCTTTCTGACTTGGCGAGGTGGCTCCGATTCTACACCGGCAGAAGAAGAAAACTCACCCGCCCCCTCCTTGTTTCCTACTGTAACTCCTCCTGGGCTTTTCTTGGCAGGAGCTTTGTAGTCACGCTGTAGCTCAGATGGTTCCTCCGGACACAACTAGTACAACCTGCATCCACGCTCTCCCCGCTGAGCATAGGTCACCATACCGATCAATAGGAGCGCGGCTCCTTCCTAGGCTTCGCATGCAGCGGAGGCTCCATCGCGGCGGGACGAGGCGAGGCCAATGAGACCCTCCTGGCCAAGAAGCTCCCACACTCTGCAGCTCCAGAAGAACCTGACCAGAAGGTGTCTGCAAGGTTCTGAAGGCAGTTTTTTTGCCCCAACACGTTGGGGAGCGCAGAGGAACAGCCTGCAAGCCAGCCACGAAAGGCTGCACCAAGAAGCGTGTCGGCAGAGGCTTCCAGAGCCTGCAGGAGCCAGGGGAAAAGTCTACGGCCACCCAAAACACATCCCCATTTTGAAACAGGACACACAAGGGCTTCCCGAGGGGCAGCAGCACTGATATAATCTGGGAGGTGATCAAGGAGGGGATTCTGCCCCTCTGCTCCGCTCTGGGAAGACCCCACCTGGAGCACTGTGTCCAGCTCTGGAGTCCTCAGCACAGGAAGGACCATGGAGCAGGGCCAGAGGAGGCCATCAAGATGCTGGGAGGGCTGGAGCCCCTCTGCTGGGAGGGGGCGCTGAGAGAGTTGAGGGGGTTCAACCTGGAGAAGAGAAGGCTCCAGGGAGACCTTAAGAATCCCTTCCAGTCCCTAAAGGGGCTCCAGGAGAGATGGGGAGGGACTTTGGATCAGGGAGGAGAGCCCTAGGATGAAGGATAATGGTTTTAAACTGAAAGAGGGGAGATTGAGATGAGATCTGGGGAAGAACTTGTTTGGTGTGAGGGTGGTGAGACCCTGGAACAGGTTGCCCAGAGAAGCTGTGGCTGCCCCATCCCTGGAGGGGTTCAAGGCCAAGTTGGAGGAGGCTCGGAGCAACCTGGTCTGGTGGGAGGTGTCCCTGCCCAGGGCAGGGGGTGGGAACTAGATGACCTCTAAGGTCCCTTCCAACCCAAACCATTCTGTGATTCTAATTGTGCAGTTGTAGCCTTGACACAGGCCCTCAAACTGCTCAAACGTGAAGATGACATGCTAAAAAGAGAAGGAACCAAACTGCGTTTTCTTCTACAGTGGCACTGACCTGTTGCAGGGCATGGGCATCATCTAAGTGCATCCTTGTCTTTGAGCAAGGGTGGTCAAAGCTTGCCTGGTTGAGGCCAGGGCTCCTGCAGATCATTCAAAACCCCTCCCTGTGTTAAAGATAAATACACAAACAGACAGAAATCAAAGATTGGGAAGATTGGGAAGGGGGGAAACGGACACCAGATTCATAATGCAAATCATCAGAAATACTATGGACCGCCAGGTAACCTCTGTCTATCAACATGTGTGCTAATTAGGAGAGCACAGCAACGTTTGGTGTGCTGGAACGTCAGCATCCCTCACGTTTTTTTAATAAAAGAGGCAGTGAACTGCTTCCCACGTTTCTCATTGCATCCTTGGCCTTTTTCTTTCTAATTGCAGTACATGCTAATACTTGGGAGAAGCTAAACAAAGGGCCAAGGAAGGCCTTCTCCAGCCAAGGATGCTCCTTCCACTGGAGCAGCGCTCCCCACCAAGCACAGTGGGTCTCACGGGCGAGCAGCAAGCAGGCTACAAGCAAAGGTGTGATGAAACACCCCTAAAAAACTCGTGCTGTCTCCGTTCAGGCCAGCTCAGGGGTCAATACTGACCTTCTGGAGCAAGGGCTCTTCTCGTGTGCGAGGCTCAGCCGCAAATAAAAGCGAGCCCATCAAAAAAAATAAAAAAAACCCACTCCAACTTGGGGTGCGGCATCTATTGCTTTTTTTCTTTCTTTCTGTTTTTTTTTTACGCTGGTGTAACTCTTGCACTGTACCAAGGCTGCCCCACATGTCCCAAGGCACAGAGGAATCAGTTAAAACCAAAGGAACGCACATTCCTCCCCCTTTCTCCCTCTGATTTTAGCTCTTCCCCCCCCCCCTTCATTTTCTACTGTAGTTCATGTTTTTCTCCTTTAATGTTTTTGTGGCAGTAGGAGAAACACCGTTCCCTAGAATGCATAATATGCTTAATTATCATTCTCTGTTAGTTCTCTAGGAAAAAAAAAAAAAAAATCTACAGGAGAAATCAGTTTAATTAATTAGTATGACCAAATGCAGCCTTAGTTCTACTGCAGTATCATATATTATACGTCCAGTTGGGCAGTTGATCTTACTTGGGCAAAATGAACAGAGATGCAAAAAACCAAGGAGCTCATGAATCAATATTCTAAGTGCAACTAACCCCTTTTGTAGAGTTATTCTAAGCCTTCCTACAGATTTCGATGCCAACGTCTGTTCCCAAATACTGCTTTTGGCTTCAGCAACGCAGGATCGGGCCCATACAGTCTAGTAATAGAAAGCTGTTGCTTGGCAGTACCAAGGGTTGTGCCACATGGTAAATTCATTAAGTAATTAAGGAAAAAAAAACCCTAAAAACCCAACAAAAAACCCACCCTTAACTCCACGTTAGCTTTTAAATAGTCATAGCCAGTAAAAATTCCCGGTGCACGTCAAGGACAAGGGTGGAAAGATTCCCTCTGAAAGTAAGACTTGGTGATTTAGATGCTTTTCAAAAGGGCTACTCTTCGCATATTAAATTATTAAGGAAATATTATGGAACAGGATTATCAGGAAAGGAAAAAAAAAAAAAAAAACCAAACCCCAACGCAGTGTGCATTAGCTGGCTTAGTCAGAGGAGGTTTTGCTGCATTCCTCACGCAGGGAGATGACTCCCTCCCTCTGTAATTCCCTGTGCACTCCCAGTCCTCTGGAGACTGCTGGTGTGCATCATCCTGGCTCCAGCTGAAACGCTCTGTCCCCTGACAGAGAGAGGCTGGGGCTGCCTCCCATCGCCGTACCTCATCGAATCCTATCTGCTCACATCTTTTTGCCTCTTCAGGAGCACCCGTGCTCTTTCCCAAAATCCCCTTTGGGCTGTATCACCTGCAAGATGTGCTTCGTTTTTGACCCAGGCCAGACTGTTCACGCCGACGCCGTCTGTACGGCACCACGGGCTCCTAAAACTGCCTCCCCTTTCTTCTCTGGCTTCTCGAGACACGCTGGATTGTACCTTGCATCAATTTTAGGCTGCTTTTCTCTCTCTTTTCAGCGCTCGCTCTGCAGTCTCTGTCAAAAGCACAAGTCATTCTTTTCTGGAACACTCGGTTACTCCTGAAGAGATGCTGCTGTCCTGATACTCATCTCATCCTGGGGCCAGGGGATCAGGAGAAAAACAAAACAATCTGCAGATAAAACCAAAGGCCCTGCTTTACAACCGAGGAGGGAGTACTTTTAATAAAGAAAAAACACAGAAACGGTGGGGGAAAAATTACAGAGAGGTGGCCAGTCTTCAGGCCTAATTAACCACTGGTGTAAACAGATGTCGCTGCAATCAAGCCAGAAGACTTTGGCCACCCACCGGTCCTGAGCACAACCCAACACAAGCCTGAAAATCTTACCACCACGGGGGGCTATCAAACACGTGAGCCACACACAAAGGTGGCCATCATCTCCCTTGTGCTGATGGGTTACCTGCTCCTGGGTCACCAGAGGAGACCAGCTCGCTCAACCCATCTGCTACACATATCACAACCCTCTTCTGAAGCAAAGCTGCTCCTGCAAAGCTCCACGTGGAGCCATACGTTTCTCTTCTGAAGCGCTCTTGAAGCCTGGCTACCGAGGCAGTTTGAGTACGTTTAGCACTGCTCAACCCTGCTGAGATGCCAAAGGCCCGACAGACCAAACAGGGCCACCAGCAGGTTGACTGGAGGCTTCTGGAAGTGGATGGTCCTGCTCAGATTTGTCACGTTGAAGAATGGTACAACCCTAGCCACATGTTTGGGGCTGGGAGGGCAAAACCAAACGGGTGCTGTGGCGATGTAGGGTGTTATATAGCATTGCAATATGTTATATAGCGCTTAAAACTATGTCACTGGAGTTTAAGGTGTTCATGTTCAGATGAATTACCTGGGAAAATACACTATTTCCATCCTTATTTATAGGAAAACATGAGCTAATATGTCGACATCCAAATGAATGCACCCGCTTCTAGCTGCTTCTGCTGGCTGGAATACAACCTGTAGAGCACATTAAGGCTCATAAACCATTTGGGGGACTTGGACATTTTGTTTAAAACTAGTTTCTGCAGCCTCTTAGAGCCACTAGATTCAAGAAACTCTTACCAAGTAAGATAGAGGCATTTTCAAAATAATTCAAATTTGCAATGGTAAATCCTTCCTCTATCTGTCCCAGGTGCAAAATTCTTTACAGCCCACGTTTATCCGTACTCTTTTCAGACAGACAGAGGTTTCTGAGGGTCTAATTTTAAGTAAACAGTGAGTGACCTGCACCACTTCTTTAAAAAAAAAAAACCCAAACCAAAAAAAAACCACAACCAACAAACCCCTATAAAACAGAAGTTGAATCTGCAGGGCCAAATTTAGAAAAGGGGGGGGGGGGGGGGGGGAGAAAGGGAATCCAATTTGTGCAGATGGTAAATCCACAGCTTAAATTAAAAGATGGTCCTTTATTATCCAAGGTTTAAATTGAGGCATTAAATGTGCAGATTTAATAAGCTCCCCCACAATTTTACTGCCACACCACTTCCACCGGGGAAGTGCTGGGTTGGCAAGGGGGGAAGGAGGATGGAGTCTGAAAGCTAATACAAAACATATTATTCTTTTTTTTCTGAGAGGCGGGGGGAGGGGGGGGGAAAGAGCTGGCAAAAAAACCCTAGCACAAGAACATCAGATGTAGCATAAACTCCCACTGCCATTCTGTTCCACTACAAATAAATGAAGATCATATAGAACCGAACTCATTGAGTCAACGCAGCGAACGCTCAAGTCTTCGCATTTTAACCCTTTGCAAAATGTGTGATTTCTTAGATGATGTGCAAAGGAGAGAGGATAAAAACAAACAAAAAAAAAACCAAAAAAAAACCAAAGAAAAAGTGAATGAGCACATCAGATGATGCTTTTACTGACTCTGCCCCTGGTAATGATTCATTTTGTCTCTCTGCGTTCCCTCGCAGCGGCACAGCTAAGAGTCAGCAAAAGCTCGTACTGTACATGCAGGTAAACAGACTGTGGGTGAAGGATGTATTTCTTAACTCTACCTAAAACCACCCCTGTAACGGCCAGAAAGGCATTTTAGCTTTCGGAAGAAAAAAAAGGGAACAGCACCGGTTCATTTAGGTTCTCCTCTAGCCTTTCTTTCTGCTCTCTCCCTTTAAAGGAAGCTGTTCGTTTATAGTGACCATTAGCCAAAGGCTAAGAGAGGTTTACACCTAATTAGTATTCCCTAGGGAAGATGAAACACTAAATCACTGCAAAACCACACACTATTTAGGATCTATCACCAGGACAAAGAAAAAAAAGCTAAGAATCCACTATTTATCCTCAGGGTCCATCTTTGCCTTCCTTTCACACCTCTTAGGCTGCTACTTCGGTCCTCCTGTGGTGGCTTTGGGGTGATAATGTCCTTGAAGTGTGGCAGGGGCTCTGGAAGAGCTCTCCTGCCTGGTCACCCCCAGAATTTGCATGGGGGGCAAGGGGAGGGATGGGACAAGAAGATATGTTGTGGGCAGGATGACCTGGGGCTCAGGAAGCCGATGCTGCATGTGGCATTCTGCTCCCTGAAGCCAGCAGTGGCTTTCTGAGCCATAAGCAGCTCTCTCAAACAATAATAATTCTCCCTTTCAGTTTGTTTGGTTTTTTTAATTTTAGCCTTGGTGGGGGAGCAAAGAAGAGACACGATGGGAGCACAGAGGGAAAGAAGCCAAGGGAAAGGAGCAGACCCAAGAAACAAGGAGGAAGAGCTGCATTCTCCATCGCTGGTGCTGCTGCTGAGTCCAAGGTGCTCTCTGGTTTGATCTCTGGTGAGCAGCAGAAGAAAATACCACAAGAAATATATCCCCCTGAGGCTCTCCCTGCTGCTTCTCTTGACCACAGACTTCCCAGCTCAAAGGAAAGGCCAGAAGGCTCCCAAACCCCCTCTCTTATCGCAGAGAGATCTGCTTTCCTGCAGATTCAGCTTTACAGAACAGCTCCTCTGGCTTTTAATTGTAGAAGGAAAGATGCAAATGGCCATCTTGAGCCATCACTCTTGTTCCACAACTGGCCCAGCAAGAGTGGCCACCAGCTGGGTACTTCAGCAGCCTATTTGCCACAGCTGGGCAGAAACAGGCCCCCTGGGCTGGCAGCCAGGGGCCGGCCAAGCCAAGGAAGGGTGACTGTCCATCTGCTCTGCCTCATGCCCCAGGGCATCTCCTAATCACCCCCACCCAGGGGAGGCTCCCAGTGTGATTCCTGCTAAGCAATAAAGTCCTAACAAACCCCAGTTATTTCTCTTGCTAACCTACACCTACGGTCCAGTAGTGTTAACCTTCAGGTTAATTATTTTTTTTTTCCTATCTGATCTGGTCTTCTACTAACTTTTCTTAACTGGATGTTTAGCCCCTGCCATAAAAGCAAAAGGAGAAGTTAAGCAGATGTCAGAGTGCTGCTAATTTGACTCCCCACATTCACACAAACACTATTCCCATGCAGGTCAGCGGACGGAAACCTCTTTTTTGCTGGCAGCTCCCTTCAAAGGAAACTCTTTCTCATCCGAGCAGCCAGGAAAGCGCAAGCGCCCAACTCCTACTACTCTAGTTGTGGGGTTCATAAAAAGAGTGGCACATCTCCCCCAAAAAAAAACATTGGGGTGTGTTAGTCTTTACCAGCCAGAAGGGAAGCCTGGCATTCGATGGGTTCAGTTTGGTTTTCAAATGAAAAAAAACCAAAAGCAACCACCTAAAACAAAGCACCTCCGATGGAGAAACATTGTCTTCCACGAGATGTTCAGACGAAAGACCTCAGACTCCCAACATATTTTTGCTGGCTGTCACAGCTGATGTGGGCAAAACCAGAAGAAGGAAATGCATTTGTTTTGAACATTTTTTTTTTCCTTTCATTTAGCAAAGATTCCCCTTAAATAAATGGAAGTGGGGAGATCTTGAAATAAGCCTTAGCAAGTTTTAATCACACTTTTTTTCTTCTTGCGAGTGAGCCGTCATTCAGTAGCTAGGTGGTTCTAAATAAAGAACTCTAGTCAACAACAGGAAATAACTCCCACAGAAAAAAAGGGCAGAATACAAACTCTCAGCAACTCTCGTACATAGCTCACAACGGCCTTTTGTTCCGTGCACATTAAGTCTAAAATCTTTACTTTTCAGAACATGTTCTTGCTCTAAGTAATTAAAACTTTTTTTTTTTCTTGTTGCAAGTACAGATCCCTTCCTTGCCTTTCTCCCCAAAGAGTTGCATCTAAGAATCCAAAAATCACAAGCTATTCCCATTTCATTCAAGTAAGGACATTCTAGGAATGCTACATGATGACCAGGAGTTTCAAAAGTTATTGATGGTGGTTTTTTTCTCCACCCTCCCCCCCTTTTCTTTTCTTTTTTTCTTTTTTTCTTTTTTTCTTTTTTTTTTTTTCTCTTGGTGGGGGGAAGGTGTGCTGTGTCCTCAGCTGCGAATAGTTTACATCCTTCTTAACGTTCAGAAACCACTGGGTGTTCAGAAAGTACAGAGCACCTGGGCTGTGGGGAGGGGGATAAAGGAGAAACCACACACCTCTAGCCACTTTAAAAAAAAATAAAAAATAATCAGGCTAATGTCTAGAATCATCAGCTTTTAAATTACACGAGACATCACAGGCCCATGCCTGCAAATGTCACCAGTAAAGACCACCCGTCTTCTCCTTCTCCCACCCTGGTGGGAGCTGAACAGGTTCAGGCTCTTCAGGCAGGAGAGTACAAGGAGATGCAATTTTTTTGCTCATAACAAGGCGCTTTGACATGGTCTAGGTGGAAATCTTATCTAGTACGGATTCAGGCAGAAGGGCAAGGAGGACAAAAGCCTTTAGGAGATACTGGAAAGCAAGGCTGGAGACAAAAGGAGCTCAAACCAACCTGGAACAGAACATAAAACTCCAATTTACAAGAAACTTAGCCATACCAGCACTGGATGGATGAGAAACCAAGGGAATATAAACAGGAGGAGAGAAGGAAAAAAAACAAAACCACACACAAAACAACACAAGAGTTTGTTCTGGTTAAACTTTAGGCTGTGAAATAGCATCTAAAGCTGCTTTCACCAGTGTGCCCAGCCTAAAGAGCCCACAATAGCTACACAAA